AATCATTTAAAATAATACATAGAAAATATTTCACTTGTGACTTTTCATATAGTCTAGACTCCTTAATACTTTGATTAATTTTAGTAACGAATTACATAATCTTTATCTTTTTATGTGAATTGGTACAACAAACCAATGTTTTTTCTTTTTGCTTGTGGATATTTCACTTGATATTATAAATGGAAGTTCTTTTTTTTTTTTTACTAATTTGGAGAAGAATCTAACTACTGTCTTGGTCTTGAGGAAATAGGAAATATACTATATATTTAGATATAAGAAGAAGAAAATATGTGTCATAGTCGATCAAAAAGATTAGTAATTAAATGTGGACAAAACAAGAGAAAGTTTGCAGCCGAAGGTTACTAAACTCAACTAAAGCTCTTTCTACCCTTTTCGGCACGCGGGTTCACATTCAAATTTCAACACATTTATATAGTTATATATATACTGCATTTCTTAATCAAACGAAAAAGCACTTATATATCACAATTTAATAAATACATGTGATGCGAACAATTTGATCAAATCATCTCACGTTTAAAAACCAAGGCCAAAGATTGAGTTCTACCATCTACGGAAATTGATGTGGTTCGTCTTAACTATTGTAACTTTTCTTCAATGACAAAAAAGCCTATCTTTTTTGTATGTATCAAAGATTAGTCGAGCTTATTTGGACGTTAGATCTTGTTCCGTTTATAAAATAAATATGATGTGGTTCAAGAAATGCAAATGACATAAGTTCATAAAATTTGATAGATAAAGGTACAAATTATTTGAAGAAAAAAATGCTCATGTAGTCTTGGGAGGCGTAACGACTTAGTTTGGTTTAATATGAAAAACAAAAGTGACCTTTGCTTAACAAGTAACAAATGAGCATCAATAATTAAATGGCCAATTATCTTTAACTTATTTGTTGTTATTTTTGTAAGCGGTACATAAATTACATGTTCCCTTCATTTGAGGTAATGAGAAGAACGAAAAGACATGTCTAGGTGTGTATGTACGAGGGTCTTGGTAGATATCATTTTCATCATCAATTTTGGTTTTTTCCAGTACTATATTGTTTTCTATATAGATTCTAATCGATGACACATCGTGAAAAAAAAAAAAATTGGGTAATAAAATCGCAAAGTATATAGTAAAAAGTATTACATAATATGTAAGCTATATATGATTGGTAACAAACCGATTCCATGATTTTTAAGGATCTTGTTAATAAGAATTTTATGTTTTGTTTAGCAAAAAAAAAAAAAAATTAACACTGAAAAACAATTTTATTATAAACGAAAACCGGTATGGAGAGAATGCAAAGTTTCAAATAAGACACCAATAGGTGTTATACAATATGAGGAACAATGCTTCAGGTTGTATAATTATGGATAATTCCATATTTTAAAATGATAAAGAACATCATCTTGACATTCTAAACTAGTTATCATATACTCTCATACTTTATAACGAACTCGACTTCCATGAGAATACGAAACTGCAATGGCATTCACAAGAAAAAAGAAAATTGTGCTTTAGCTATTTTTAAATTATGGCTTCGAGTGGAAGTGGTGCAATGTAAGAATATGTGCGGTTATATAAATAAAGAATCTGCGGTTATATAAATAAAGAATCTTATTATTGTTTTGTTCATCATTCATAATCCCGCATGGACCGTTTTATTCAATGGCTATGTATGCTAGTTAAATGATCTACAAGTATTTATGGCTCCTATGTTCGCCATCACTAGCTTGGATCCTTTTAGATCTTGCCAAATCCGAAAGAAATTAATAGTGACAAGCTAGTGATTGATGTAAAGTGTCCAAAAGTAAGTCTATACACATGGGACATATAGAGACATATATACAGATCATAGGCAATGTGCATTCTTCACCTAAACTTCCAAAGGCCGTATGAATAAAGCCTAAAAATAAAACAAAAGCATAGAACTGATTAAAGTTTCAATAGAACATATAGGGGTAGGTCCATTTGGAAGAAACAACAAGAGTCACATAAACTCTTTTTCCACAAATTAAGATGTCTTGGTTGATCTAAAGATTTATCAGAGCACATATCATCATAGAGAGTGTGATGGTTCTCTCAGCATCAAGGAAAGTTTGGAACAATCTATATAACACTACTTTCCATTAAACAGAAACCCCAAAAAAAACAAAATGCAATGTGTGATTCACCATATACTTTATACACACAAAAAGACCATATAATATACATTCATAAGGTTAACAGATACTTGGAATGAGTAGTTTGGGTTCTTCTGACAAATCCATCAGAGCTTCCTCTACTAACTCCTCCAGCAACTTCAACTCTAATTCTTCTCCCATGGAATCCATTTCCAATCTCAAACACTCCGGCGAACCAATCTCTGCCACTTCAACCCTCACCACTTTATTCACGGCCAAACTGCTCAGGTCTCCGTCTTCATCCCACCACCGATCTTCCACTCTTCCTTTACCGGTTAAACATTCTTGCATCCGGTTTATCAAATAAACCCTCAATTTGTCACCAGAGAGAACCATGGGACTACGAGATCCAAGATAGCTCGGTGTTAGCTCCAAGAGCAGTGTGTTGACGAGGTCAAACACTAGCTTCTTCACATTTGATCCGAGTCTTCGCTGTTCCATTGAGTCTGCGTAGTTGTTTCTCAAAGATGGGTCTAAAGGGCTTTCTGCGGAATGCCATTTAGAAAACAGATTGTCTGAGATTGATGACGAGGATGACCTTTCATCGAGATTAGCTGCTGATAAGAGTGTGTTGATAAGGAGCCGCAAGTCTTCTTCTTCATTTCTTGGGTCTACTGAAGTGGTAGAGCGTTTAGATGAGTAGCACCTAGCTACCGTTGAGTCGTCTAATGAAAAGGTTCGACCAAGGGATCCTATGGGCGGTGATTTGCCTAATAAGTTGGATTTCATTGACATCATCTCCGGTTCTGTTTTTCCAAAATTGTCCGCTTTATCAGGAACCGAAAAATGAAACGAGATAAAGAAGAATGAAGCTTTATAATGAAACCTTACCAAGAGAAGATGATGATCTGTTCAAGACAGAGGAATTAAAAAAGATTCCATCATCCTCATCGAAAGAAGTTTCCAAGACCGATATTGGACTCGGCTCATCACGCCATTCACTAGAGTTTCCGAAAGTTATTGGCTTCGCAATTGATAAGCCTCCCTGTTGAGATAGACAATACCAAAAAAAATATCTGTTTGTAAATACTAAGAATGCAACAGATGAATGGGCTAAAAACAGCAAATGTGTTCTATGATTATAATACCTCCCGAGAATTCATGCTTCTGGCAGACACTGATGCATCAAATTCATCGTTAAAGCGAGAATCCAAGATTTCGAGATTTACTACTTGGGATTCCTCATCAGATCTCTCCTTACTGGCTTTCTTGTTCCTTGAGAAAAGAAAGTTTGAGACTTTACCTTTCAAAGACCATTTCAAGCTCTTCGACTTAGTCAGCTCCTCAGGAACATTGGATTTCCCCTTGTTGGTATCAGGGGATTTGCGACCAAAACTTGTCGATGATTCAGGGAGAGATTTTGACCTTGTGAGGGCTTTAAGAGGCTTTAAATTGCCTTCTTCTCTACTGAAATTACCGGTTAAGCAAGATCCAGACACTCTACGACCCTCCTGTCCATTACTATCACTTGCTTCTTCTACTTCTTCAGTTCTAACATCTTTCATTATATCTGAAAGTGCAAGCATATCCCCTAAGGTACTATTAGAGCCCTTACTCTGTATAACTTTGGCCTCCTGCAAATTCTCATTGGATGCTGCCATCAATGCCCATCTTTCAGAAAGCCGTTTCTTGGCCTCTCTGCAGACGGATGATGACTCCGGAGAACCCAAAGCTCTGCTAAAGGGCGAGGAAGAAAACGGGCTATCGAACTTGTTGATATAATCCCATGAATGCCTAGAAACCGGTGACATGACTTCGGAATCTGCATAATCATTTTCAGATCTGTTAATAGAACTATCGTCGCCGATATAGCCGTTGGAGAAGACAGAAGGATGTAAAGTTTCTTCCTTAAGCATCTGTCTCTTCAATCTTCTAACTACATCTTTTGACTCTCTGTCCTCAAAATCATCCACAGGTAAACCTCTTGGAGACGTTGGACATGATGAAGCCTTTGTGACATGGCCACTAGGTTTCAGAACAACTATTCGAGTTGATTGCTTCGTTGGACATTCTTGTTCGACCGGCCAATTGAACAAATGAAGACCCTTTTCACTATTCGTTCCGTCCCTCGAAGACTCAATGGACTTTGAAGGCTTCAAAATAGTGATATGCCTCGACTTCTCTGGTGTTGGTGGTGCTGTGGACTGGAAACTGTGGAGATGATGAGAGAAGAAGTTATTCGATTCCTGCAAAAACTCGAGGAACAACTCCTTGTTCGAACTCAAAACTTCCATAGCTTCTTGAAACTCCTTGGAATGCCGAAGTTTATCATCTGTCACCAACCGTTTCGCCTCCAAGAACTTTTCACGGACAATATCCATCTTCTTCTTGCTTAAACCCTCCACACCATTACTAAACTCCCCTGGTTTCTGCCAAATCTCATAGACATCTTTATATTCCCCGTGACTTAACGACCTCTTTAACCGAGGATTGGAGCTACTCCTCTGAGCAATAACACTTGGTTGAGTCTGAGGAAAAGAATCAAGACCCATTAACTTGGCAACTAAATTAGTCGAACCGAGCTTAAACTCCATTTCTTTCGACATTTCCTCCTCTAAAAGCTTCTTCATCGGTGTTCCATTAACTCCAACACTACCATTCCTCACATCCTACACTCACAAAATAAACACTTTCCATTACATAAAACAAAACCAATAAAAAGAAAGCAAATTGTCTTTACAGGTTTTGAAAACTCACAACTTTATCTTCTATCTGATTTTGCAACCTTTTGATAGACCCTGTGAAAGCA